TTGATTTTGGGCATTGGTTGATTTTGGGCAAGTCACATCTTCTTAGCCTCAGAAAATCTCATAAGTTTGCTGTAGCCACACAACAGCAGCAGCAACAACAAAATATTGAACAAATGAGCAAGCTTGTTTTCTGCTGCTCCATAGACTAAGACATAGAGCAATGAATTCAAACTAAAGCAAAAAGAGGTTCAACTTAAAGAAAAAGAGACTGGTGTGACCATAGCAAAAAAAAAAAACCAAATTCAAATGAGAATAGGTAAAAATCTATCTATACTTGTGAAATAAAGACAACAAAAAGGCCTTTTTAATAAAAATTATTGCATTGGCATGGAATCAATCAGTAGAGCTGTTTCGGGTGATTAGGGCTCTAGTACAATCTTTCTGAAAAGAGACTGTAACCCACTCAACAGCATACTTCAAATAATTTGCCCACTACTTTGAAGATAAGTCTCTTGGATTTCCTCTTACTTGGATGTTGAAGTTGAAACAGTTTTGATGGCTGTAACCTTTGCATCTGACTTTTGCACCTGCTTGTCCAGTGTTGATGGATCTTTTCCTATTTGTGCAGCCTGAGATGTAGATAGGATCCACATGTGTTCTAGATGTTTGCCCCTCCAGGCTTATTAAAGCAGGCGCGCGGGGGGGGGGGGGGGGGGATGACATGAATGCTTCTCTGAATGAAGGCAGAGTCCAAACATGCTTGGGGAAGATGTGGTAAGACCTGTTCTGAAGATACCATTGTTGCAGAATATACGTTACCCGAGATCATTAAAGTACAATCACGAAGGAAGAGAATGGAGACGGCAATGGATTTCAGGCTTTACTATCAAGCAAGATAGAGTGTACAGATCAAAAGTCTGTCACAAATTTGAAGTCACAATTGTTCCAGTTTTTATAGCATAAAGTCACTTGTCTACACATGCGCAGCAAGGATCTGACATTTACACAATACAATCATTAACAGGTGTTTTCATGTATAGTTGCCAAGGACATCTTTATCAGGTCTTGGCAGGCACGTTGTGACCCCAAACATCTGCTCGGTTATATAACTTATCTCAACTTTCACCCGTTACCCTAAAATGACACGTATATGTTTAATTCCTTTAAATCTCTAATTGAATTATAACTTTTATATACTTATAACATAAGATTTCATCAAGGCAATCTCCTTTTAGTTAAATTCAGCCTTAATAACTTCATTAACTTATTTCTTTATATGAATAATCATGAAGGAAAAATACTAGGACGAAACTCTTCTAAAATTGCCTGCTATTTACATTAAGTAGTCAGAAGATGGCGCTCTCTCACCATATGACCTTAAATGTTCCACATCTTGGATCGATATATTGATTTCTTTGTCCTGCCAAATTTCTCTTGTTTACTTCATATCTATGTCCACATCGGCTAGAATAAACAGGCTAGAGCAAACATAGTTAGTGCAACCTGACCTCGTGTCAATCATCTGCAGGTTTTGCATGTTTGCAAATTTAAAAATGGTCTTCTCAGATTCAGGTAGGAACAAAAATCTTTCATTTTATACTAAATTATTATGATTTCCCTTTATTATTTTATTTTTCTCCTAACGGCTGCCACACCATCAATGGTTACTAGGCTTGGTTGATTAAAAAAAAAGGTTCAAAATTCATTTCGGATGTAGGGAACACTGGTGGTTTGATTCTAAAGTCACTTCCGATTTTTTTGGAAAAAAGTCAGAACTTTCCGAAACTTCTGAAACTTCAGAATCGCTTCATTAATGGTGGACGTGATTGCGCAATATGCGGAAAACAGGCACTGGGGAAACCCCTCCCTCATTTTTACACCAATCTTGAAGAAACTTGGTATACTGCTACAACACATCCTCCTCTGTTAGCATACCAAATTTCAACATGTTCGGACATGTGAGCAAAAAAGAAGTTTCCAGAAATGACTTCATTAATTTCACTCTCTCCCTCCCTCCCAAACACACTTTTCCTTCTTCTTTGGAACAGGACTGTTAGGACATGTTCAAAATATAGACCCCAGGTAAAAAGGGAAAGACTTCAATAAAAATAGCAAAGCTTTAGTGGTGAGCAAAAAAGAAGTTTCCAGAAAGGATTTTATTAATATCACTGTTGGGACTCAGCTGGTGTTTGAGCCTGAATCTGTGATTGTGTTTCCCCCTCCTGATGTTTCTGAGTCTGATTTGGATAGTGAGACTGATGTGATCAATGAGGATGAGGTGCAAAATGGAGACACTTCGGACAATAAGGTTACTGCAGACACTAATCGAGAGGGGTCAGGGGAAAGGCTAAATTCTCATGAGAAAGTTGCTGTCAGAGCAAGGGAAGAAAGTTTACTCCCTTCTCCAGGCTTAAGTTTGCAAGATAGTTTGACACCTGGTAGAGTTAAAGAAGAGACAGATAAGACCAGTCGCCATCTGGAAAAAAGCCAGAACCGTCGAGAGGCCCAATGTTTACGCAGATCAGAAATAATTCGGCAGTTAAGGCCAAAAACTGGGGGGAATAGGAACCAATTTTTGGGACTTAAATTGGGCCCTTAGAGAATATTTTTCAGATCAGGCATCATTTGGAATCAAACTCAAGTCTCCTGGAAATTCCTGTTTCAAGTGGCCTCGTCTCTAAGGATATATCTAGCTTTTCAAGTGGTTTAGCAGTGGCTAGTCTGTTCATGGTTTCATTTCAGTCTGGTTTCAGGCCTGGTTATGACACAGAGATAGCTTTGGTCACCTTGGTGGATGACCTACACAGGGAACTGTAAATGGGGAGAGTCTCCCTGTTGATTCTCCTGGGCGTTTCAGCAGTTTTTGCTACCATCTATCTTGGTATCCTTTTGAGTTGCCTCTCTGGGATGGGTCTTGGAGGAACTAGTCTTCACTTCTTCATTATTTCTTGGAGGGATGCTCACAAAATTGAAACTTAATTCAGACAAGACAGGGGTATTCATGGTCAATCAAAAGAAGCTGCGTCTAACCACTGTAGTACATACTTAGTTACATTCCATTTGAATTACTATTTTGTACTCTATGTGTGCTTAGAAACCTAAACACACACACACACAAACACAGAGCTTTATACAGTTTGGTTTAATGGTTATTTTAAGGGTCATATCACTCTTTATGAATCTATCGAGACATTACAATAATCTTTATATATGTGTGTGTGTGTGTGTGTGTGTGTGTGTCTTTATTGAGAATACAACTTGCTCCTCAGGAGTAGGAGCTTAAAAAGAAAAATTGATACACGGTTTATTTTTCCATTGTTTTACATAAAAAGAGTGGGAACAATCCATTGAGGAAAATCAGAAAAGAAAAAAAAAAGAAAAAAAGAAAAAGAAAGATAATTAAAGCAAGAAATAAAATTCCAGGTCTCCCCAAGTTGAAAATCTTCACACTTAATGATGGTCTGGTTATTATTAAGTGACCAAAAAACCGGACTGGACAAAATTTTTAGATTTCATTAAAAAAGAAAATAAAGAGATCTATATTAGTGAATTATAAAAGAAACTCGAAGGAAATATCAATAAGAAACCGGAGATAAAAAATAAAAAATTACAATAATCTTTCTGTCCCACCACCCTTCTCAGTGGATGCTCCCAGACTCTGAAACCATTTCCTTAGAGAGGTCAGGGTCCCCATCCTTAATTGCCTTTTGTAGGCAGGAAAAACATTCCTGTGCTAGCAGTTATTTATGAGTCAAGGCAGTCTTTTGAAGACAGTGTGATTGGAATATTAACAAGGGGGTAAAGATTTAATACATTTTAATATTTTAATGTGTAATGCTTTTAATAATATTGAACTGATTTTTTATATTTGATATGTATATGTTATTGTTTTAAATTAGCATTTATAAATATTTATTGTTAGCCATCTGGACTCCATTAGTCGGGATATGGTGGGATAAAATTAAAGCAAATAACTAACTAAATAAATAGTGACTAAATAAATAGGAATGCTGTCATTGCATAGTCCTGAATCAGAGGGGACTGAACACCATGACCCTTTTGATTGCTTCCAACCTTATAGTGCTATGTAGATCCTTCAGCTTGCCATTTTTAGAAAGGATATTTTTTATTCATTTTTGGGAGAAAGAATGGCATTTACAATGCAAATAGAGAAGAAACAAAGTCTAAAAGAAAGAAAGACAAAACATTTGAAAATATGCATATACAAAAACAAAGATACATATAGAACTATTACTTAGGCGATCCCTCGTAGTCTAAGGATGATGGTCCTCCAAGGTCGGTGTTCTGGCGGTGGGTCCATAGGTGACTGTGGAGCCCTATTCTTGATTTGCATCTTCTCCCACATTGAGGGCATTGATTTCCAGGTGGAAGATGCGCCTTCCTCTTGGCATGTTTCTTTCTTTCGCCCTCCATTCATGCCTCTTCAAATTCTACAGCACTGGTGGTCACACCTGACCTCCAACTGGAGTGCTCAAGTGCCAGGGCTTCTCATTTCTCAGTGTCTATGCCAGAGTTTTTAAGGTTGGCTTTGAGCCCATCTTTAAATCTCTTTTCCTGTCCACCAACATTCCGTTTTCCGTTCTTTAGTTCAGAATAAAGCAACTGTTTTGGGAGACGGTGGTCGGGCATCCAGACAACATGGCCTCAAAATTGGTCTTATCCTGATTTGGGTTCATATATACTAGCTACTTACTGAGGGGCCAACCTGGAGCAGAACGTCGAAATGCATGCACTCTGAACACCACTCTTTCTCCCTGGCTATGCAGGTGCCAATCTTGTGTCTGCATAGGTTGCCTATGTTGGCAGGAGCTCCCATAAAACTCCCGACTAATGGCTAACAATAAATATTCAGATGGCAGAAATCCAGGTCTAATCTATCCCATTCTAATTTGCATGAGCAACTCTTGGCACATCACAATTAAACATCTCCTTGGGTAGGCCATCAGAATATGATTTGGCTGTTGATTTTTTAATATCTGGAATAATACATAATGATGTTATTTGGAAAGAAGAACAGAGAGAGAGAGAGAGAGAGAAAGCAAGAGAGAGGGAGGGAGAGAAGTGCCATCATCACTGAAGAAAGAAGATCCAACCAATTTCTTTCAATATCTCCCATAGTTGGTGGAAAATATTCAAGGTTAAAGAAAAGACATCAGAATGGCAGAGATCCAGTTATCTTTGAGTGTTTTGCTGCCAATTCTTCTGCTGTTATACTTCCTGAAACTACTGTGGTCACGAAGACATTACCCACCTGGACCTCTTGCCTTTCCCATCATTGGAGGCCTATGGCGAATTGCGTTTGAAAAGGGAATTGATGGCATGACGGCGATAAAGGTACTTTTAACTAATTAAGCTATAACTTAAGACTCTGAATTAGAATGCTTGTAAAGGTCTTTGTGATCCCACCCCCCTTGATAACTGAGAACAAAAGAGTTGTGGGTTTGATATAAAAAATATTATGAGTATATGTTGTTGTAGGTTTTTTCAGGCTATATGGCCATGGTCTAGAGGCATTCTCTCCTGACGTTTTGCCTGCATCTATGGCAAGCATCCTCAGAGGTCGTGAGGTCTGTTGGAACTAGGCAAAAGGGTTTATATATCTGTGGAATGACCAGGTTGGGACAAAGGACTCTTCTCTGCTGGAGCTAGGTGTGAATGTTTCAACTGACCACCTTGATTAGCATACAATGGCCTGACTGTGCCTGGGGCAAACCTTTGTTGAAAGGTAATTAGCTGTCCCTGCCTGCTTCCTCTCTGTTGTTGTGCTGTTGTAATTTTAGTTTTTTTTAATACTGGTAGCCAGATTTTGTTCATTTTCATGGTTTCCTCCTTTCTGTTGAAATTGTCCACATGCTTGTGGATTTCAATGGCTTCTCTGTGTAGTCTGACACAGGAGCCCCACCTCCTTCAAGATGAACTGAACCACCTCAACTGGGCTCTACAGGCCAATGGATACTCCACCTCAAACATCAGAAGAGCTGCAAGACCAAGAACAAGCCACGAGAATAAAGATGAAGATTCCCCCAGAGGAAAAGAGTTCTTGCCATACATCAAGGGGACCACTGACCGCATAGGGAAGCTGATGAGGAAACACAAGATACAAACTATCTACAGACCCACCAAGAAAATCCAACAAATGCTACATTCAGCAAAGGACAAGAGGGATCCTCTCACTTCTGCAGGAGTCTACCGTGTACCATGCAGCTGTGGACAAGTCTACATAGGGACCACCAAATGCAGCAGAATTGCCCAAACACGAATCAGGGAACATGAAAGGCACTGCAGACTACTTCAACCAGAGAAGTCAGCCATAGCAGAGCACCTGATGAACCAACCTGGACACAGCATTTTATTTGAGAACACAGAAATGCTGGACCACTCTCCCAACCACCATGTGAGACTACATAGTTCCAACAGACCTCACTACCTCTGAGGATGCTTGCCATAGATGCAGGCGAAACGTCAGGAGAGAATGCCTCTAGACCATGGCCATATAGCCCGAAAAAACCTACAACAAGCCAGTGATTCCGGCCATGATATATTATGAGTATGTTTGGCTGTAGTAGTGTTAATATTAATCTAATCTATCTAATCTTTTTGTCAGAGTTTGGAAGTATTGTTTAACTGAAAAACATCTCTCAGAATCTCCTAGCCCAGGAGTATCCAACCTCTTTGCTTCCCTGGAGCACATTGGAAGAAGGAATGAAATACACTAACACTGACAATAACAATAACTTATTAGCCAATATATATATATCTATGAATAATGTTTATGATATTGATTACCACAGATAAGCAAAAGAAAAGTCCTCATATAATAATTCTAATTATTCATTGCCCCCTTTGGAGGGTCTTCTATACTTGTTGAGCAGGTCTTATAGCTGAACAGTTTGCAATTATAATGCAGGTTACAGAGAATACTGTAATGACAGAATGCTCAATGGGCTTAGGTCCAGTGATGTATCGGTGCAGGTATATCTTCCCCATGCAATCGGTGGCCACTGATCATGATGATTGTATGAAGAATGTACTGCATGTAAAGATGGGGATAGCATGTGGACTGTTCTTATTGGCTGCTTGTGTTTGTGCTGTTTACTATCCATCACAACTTTGGGAGAGGACAATTGGCATGGGCCTCAGATCCAGAACAATGTTGTCAATGTCTATCAGGCATTTGTAAAGAATGGGGGGGGGGSTTCCCTTAGGGGGAACTCGGTTGCTCCCTCCCCCTTTGTGGTCCTGCCTTGCCAAGTGGCCTTTCTCAAGCAACAGGTYGGAAGGGGTAGCTCATGGATCTGGGTTGGTCAATATCTGAAGCTGGGACTCATCTGGGACCATCCTTATAATGTTGGTGTAACCAAAAAAGTTTTGACCTAATTTGTTCAGAAATTTTCATTAAGCTAGTTATATGTTCATCCGTATTCATTGTGGTGGTTATTGGCAGGGCGTCACCCATGGACATGCAATACCCTTAGTAGCCTATCTGTAGGTCTATAAATGCAACAGTGGGTTTTGTCAACTCTAGATAGGCAACAAAGTGGGAATTAAAGCATTTTCATTAATGATAGCTTGAGTTATCCCTACTCGCTTAAGTATCTCCTGTAATGTATCTTTCATGGGTTTGTATCTATATCAAACAGAGTGCAGCATGACCAGTGCAAAATAAGCTTGTAATAGAAATATGAAATAAACACTGAGGATGTCCTAGAAAATTTTAAAAAGGAATAATAATAATTATTATTATAAAACTTTATTTATATACCGCTCTCTCACCCTGTGGAGACTCAGGGTGGTTTCCAAGTAACATCACCGAAGCATAACATAAAATTAACAAAACAACATAAAATTAACGGAACAACAATCCTGCCTATTCAGAGCAATTAAAAAGCTGGGCCAAGGCTAGTGTGAACCCAAAATATGAGGGGACCGGGAATTAAGTACAGTGCTATAACAGGCTAACGATAATAGCAGGTACTATTAGCGGGTCTGTGGCTGCTCATTTCCAGGGCCTATTAGAGCGATGACCGGTGTAATAGGTAAGAGTGCAAGGTCATATTCAACAATGTTTGGGCTGGACAAGAACTGGTCATTTTCAAAGGCTTGTTGAAACCACCAGGTCTTCAAGCTCTTATGAAAGGAGGGGAGGGATGGGGCCTGTCTTATTTCCCTTGGAAGGGCATTCCAGAGGCGGGGGGGGGGCAGCACCGAGAAGGCCCTCTCTCGTCCCCAGTAACTGTACTTGTGACAGTGGTGGGAGCAAAAGGAAGGCCTCCCTGCAAGATCTTAGAGTTCAAGCCAGTTCATAGCAGGAGATGCGATCGCGGAGATAGGCATGGCCTGAACCGTTAAGGGTTTATAGGTTATGACCTGCACCTTGAATTTGGCTCAGCAACTTATCAGCAGCCAATGAAGCTGTTTTAATAGGGGCGTTGTATGTTCCCTATAGTTTGCTCCAGTAAGGAGCCTCGCTGCTGCCCGTTGTACCTGTTGAAAGTTCTGGGCCGTCTTCTAGGGCAGCCCCACATAGAGTGCATTGCAGTAGTCCAGTCTGGATGTAACCAAGGCCTGTCCAAATCAGCCTTCACAAGGTAAGGTCGCAGCTGGCGCACAAGTTTGAGTTGTGCAAAGGCCCTCCCAGCCACCGGCAACACCTGAGCATCAAGCGACAGCATTGAATTCAGGAGGACCCCTAAGCTACGGACCTGCGCCCTCAGGGGGAGTGTAACCCCATCGAGTACAGGTTGCCACCCAATATCCCAGTCGGCCCCGTGACTAACCAAGAGGACCTCTTGTTTGGATTAAGCTTCAACCTGTTAGCCCTCATCCAGTCCATCACAGCTGCCAGACACTGGTTCAAGGTCTGGGAGGCTTCCTTGGAATTTGGTGGAAATGAGTAGTAGAGTTGGGTGTCATCTGCATACAGATGGCACCCAACTTCAAAACTCCAGATAACCTCACCCAGTGGTTTCATGTAGATATTGAAAAGCACGGGGGATAGAATGGAACCTTGCGGGATGCCACAGGTCAAAGGCCATGGGTCCAAGCAGGTATCTCCCAGCTTCACCATCTGGGAGCGACCCTCCAGGAAGGAACGGAGCCACTGCAGAGCAATGCCCCCAAGACCCATTCCGGAGAGCTGCATGAGAAGGATACCATGGTCGATGGTATCAAAAGCTGCTGAGATATCCAGGAGAACCAACAGGGAGACACTCCCACTGTCAAGCTCTTTTCAGAGGTAATCCACCAAGGCAACCAAAGCTGTTTCAGTAAAATGGCCAGGTCTAAAACCAGACTGTGATGGATCTAGATAGTCAGTGTCATCCAAGAATCCCTGGAGTTGGGAGGCAACCACCCGCTCTAGAACCTTGCCCAAGAAAGGGAGGTTAGAAATTGGCCGGCAGTTATTTAGGACTGAGGAATCTAGGGACGCCTTTTTGAGTAATGGTCTCACAATTGCATTTTTCAGGCTCAATGGAATATGTCCCTGTTCCATAGAGGCATTTATAATCTTTGAGATCCATTCGGCCAATCCCCCACTGGCAAGCTTGATTAGCCAAGAAGGGCAAGGGTGCAGGGCACAAGTGGTTGCTCTCACCACTCCAAGAATCTTGTCCATGTCATCAGGTTGGATAGGTTGCAGCGAATACATCAAAACCAGACAGACAGGTACCTCAGTTACATCCATGGACACTGCATCAAAACCGACGTCTAAGTAGGAATGCAGTTGAGTGACTTTATCTGCATAATGATGTGCGAACTCTCCACATTGAGTTGCCAGGGGGTCAAGGTTCTCCTCACCCTGGTGGGGGTGAAGGAGCTCCCTAACCACCCAAAACAACTCTGCAGGCCTTTTAGATGTAGACACAATGCAGGCAGTTGAGTAAGTCTTTCTGGCTGCCTTTATAGGCCTTAAGAGAGACTCCAGCCCATGTTCGGTAAGCTGCTTTTCGAGTTTTCCACCAGTGGCGCCCTAGTCTCCATTTCGCCTGCTTCATCACTGCCAGCTCTCCAGTAAACCAGGGGGGTGGATTGACTTTGTGCAGTGAGAGGGGACGTTTGGGGGCTTCGACAGGATTGTCAGCCACCATGGCAGGAAAATCACCAAGAGACATCAGTACAGGACCCATTAAGATGGTCCGCCCCAAGAGACATGGATCTTTCTGGATCCATAAGCCTCCTGGGGCGGACCATCTTAATGGGTCCTCTACCCCTGCAGAGGTTTGAGGTTGCGGTAATCCTAAGACTGATCAGGTAATGGTCGGTCCATGACAATGGAAGAATTTTTAGCTCTTCCACACTGAAGTTACCCCCGTCTGCAATAAAGACCAGATCCAGAGTATGACCACCTACATGAGTGGGACCTGATACCACTTGGGACAGCCCCATGGTTGTCATGGCAACCATGAAGTCCTGAGCCACACTGGACAGGGTGGACTCCTTGTGGACATTGAAATCCTCCAGTACTATTAGCCACTAGGACTCCAACGCCAAGTCAGAGACCACCCCTGCAAGCTCAGGCAGGGAGACTGCTGTGCAGCGGAGTGGACGGTACACCAGCAAAATCCCCAAGCTGTCCCGGTTACCCACTTTCAAGTGAACACTCTCGAACCCAGAACATTGCATCAAGGGGTACCTGACCAGGGAGATGGACTCACGGAAGACGACTGAAACCGCTCCTCCCTGCCCTCGGGTCTGGCCTGCTGATGCACCCCAAAACCTTGAGGACAGAGCATGGTGAGGTTGACCCTGCCCCCAACTCATCCAACCAGGTCTCAGTGATGCATGCTAGGTCCACTTGTTCATCCAGAATCAAATCCTGGATGGCTGCTGTTTAACCATTTACGGACCTAGCATTTAGCAGCAGGACCTTGAGTCCGAGTGGTCTGTCATGGAGGCACTTGGACCTATCTCGCCTCAGGGTCGCAAATGTTCTGTTGTGCTTCTCCCTGGAATGGCATTTGCGAAAGCATCTACATCTCTCCAGCACAACTTCAATAGTGGACCCCCGTTCCCGGGACAACCCTCCCACGGGGACATCATCCAATGGACTTAAAGGGGTAGGCAGTCAGCTAACAGCATTCAATTGGGGGGAGGGCGTTCTCTACAGGGAACTCTCAAGAGTGGCTTCCTGTACGGACAAACTGGTGGAAACTTTGAGACCAGGGAGGGCTGGTCTAGGGGCATGTTTTGGGGCTCTGTCTGATTGAATTCTGATGGGGGTGACTGGTCTAGGGACAGGGTTTGAGGCACTAATTGGCTAAATTTTAATGAAGTGGGCTGGTCTAGGGGCAGGGTTTGGGGCTCTATTTGACTAAATTTTAATGGAGGTGACTGGTCTAGGGAAAAGGTTAGGGACTCTAATTGACTAGATTTTGATGAAGTGGGCTGGTTCAGGGGCAAGATTAGGGGCTGTATTTGACTAAATTTTGATGGAGTGGGCTGATCTAGAGACAGGGTTTGGAGCTCTATTTGACTAAAGTTTGATGGCATGAGGGACCTTAAGTGGAGGTCTACTTCACTATTGTAGGCCGATAGATTAAAGACAAGGGGCCCCTGGGGACTGTCTGAGGGTTTCCCGGATTGGCGCCCTACTACAAGTCTCTCTAATAGTGGGTGGGTGACTAGATCTTGGAACACCCTTTTTACTTGAATCCCCCAACTCTGGAAACAAAATAACCCTGGGGGAGTTAGTTAAGGAAAGTCTTACATTGACTGTTTCTGGAAGTTCATCTCGAATAGAAACGGAGACAAAAGATTTCCTGCATTTTACAGAGGAGCCCCATAAGCTTGCTTTCATGTGTGGGTATAAGCCATCCCAAGGAAAGGGATCCACAGATCCTCCCTTTCTTGAGAGGAAGCGTCCATGAGTTTGGAATATATGAGGAAGGGTTTGAGAGAGACCATTCCAGAATTAAGTCTTTGTGATAAAAGTCAGCTGTCAGGGGAATCAGGGCACATAAATGGAAGTTTTTCATGGGCAGAAACTTCAGAGGTAAAGATCTGAAGATGGCTAGCATTTTATTTCTTGTTCTGAAATAGTTTGCTTCATGTGTTTATAACTTTCTTCTCCTTGCTTTGATCCAAATGCAGGCAGCAAAACAATATGGAAATGTTTTCACTCTTTGGCTGGGTCATTTTCCAATGGTATTCCTGTCTGGATTCGATGCTGTGAAAGAAGGACTGGTTGATCACTCAGAAGAATTATTGGATCGGGGGGTGACTCCATTTTTTGAAAAAATATCAGAAGGAAAAGGTAAGTTTATTTATTTATTTATTTCCTATATTTATACCCCGCCCTTCTCCCTCCGAAGGGTGACTCATGGCAGCCTAACAAAAGCATGATGATGTTAGCATCATAAAACAACCACAGCACAATCAAAATATTTAAAATTAAAACAACAGTTGAACCAATTAATTAAGACACATCCATTAAAATTGAAATCCAAAAATCAGTCTGGGTCAATTCATTGCCATAAGATGTGTGATCTTCTTCCACTTGCTGCTCAATGATCAAACGCTTGGTCCCATAACCAGGTCTTGATTTTCCTTCTAAATGACAAGAGGGGGGTGGCCAATCTGATATCTCTAGGGAGGGTGTTCCATAAGTTGTGAAGAGTTGCACAAGACTTTTCCCCAGAGATATAATATGCGGACAGAAGATTTTATCTGTTAGAAACTGCACCATAAAAAATAACACGTCAAGCAAAAGCAGTTCGTTCTTATCCAGAGAAGAGGAGAAACTCAATAATGTGCAATTTAAGACTATAGCTATTGAAAGACTGTCCAGAGCTATCAGATCTGGGTTTCAATAATTTTCATCATGCATTGACTTGGTACCAAGTAAGCACAATCATTCTCTCATGTGCACATTCTCATACGGAAGAATGGGCCTTGGAGGTACTGTCTTGCAGTGGCTCCGCTCCTTTCTAGAGGATCATTTCCAGAAGGTGTTGCTGGGGAAACCTGCTCGACCCCACAACCTTTGTTTTGTGTGATCCCACAGGGATCAATACTGTCCCCCATGTTGTTTAACATCTACATGAAGCCACTGACTGAAATCATCTGGAGTTTGCTACTGGGCACAATTCAAAGTGCTGGCTTTAGCCTATAAAGCCCTAAACGGTTCCGGCCTAGCTTACCTATCCGAATGTATCTCTCCTTATGGATCACCTAGGAATTTAAGATTGGCTGGGGAGGCCCTGCTCTCAATCCCACCTTCCTCACAAGAATGCCTGGTGGGGACAAGACACAGAACCTTCTTAGTGGTGACCCCTCAGCTGTGGAACTCCCTCTCTAGTGACGTTAGATCGGGTCCCTCCCTCCTGACCTTCAGTAAAAGAGTAAAAACTTGACTTTTTAAACAAGCGTTTAGAAGTGCAGCAGAATAGGTAATTATGAAATAGGAAGAATGAACACAGAATGGCTAGACGATGCTGCTGGATAATGATGTTAACAGGATGACACTGGTGATCATATGTTTTTAAATGGTTTATATATGCTTTTTTATAATGTTGAGTTGAATGTTTTTAACTGTATTTTATGAATGTATGGCATCAAATTTGCTAATTCTGTGACCTGCCTTGAGTCGACGTAAGGCTGAGAAAGGTGGGCTACAAATGCCATAAACAAACAAACAAATAAATAAATAAACAGTGACAGACAGTTCCTCCCAGGTCTTGATACCCTGTACACCGGATTGTACCAGTTGGGAGGTATCCTTTGCGGTTCCCAATTCAATCCATCATTTAGAAGGAATAATCTCCCAGGTGCAGGCACTCCCTTGTTTGTACCTATAAGGAGGTATCCTTGCTGTCTCCAGTCCATCAAGTTTCAAAGTCAATTTCATGGATCAACCATTCCTTGCTTTGATTGCCAAAAAGTCTCCATACTGTCATGCATTCTGGTTCTCCATTTGCTTTCCTTCTTTCTCCAGCTTTCCAGTTGAAGAAAGATAAATATGAATGTTTCTCATATTTATCACAACATCAGACCTCTGGAAATAGCAAGTCTGTTTTGTGTTCGCTGAGGGTCAGCATGGTATGCTGGATTGGGTACCAATGGCCACTGGCTTTTGGCTTTTGTGATTATGATACTCCTGTTCAATTGTATCCTCAGAGCTTGGTGACTAAGCTTCTGCTTTGTGAAGTTTTGAGATTTCAGAATTCTGGATAAAGGAGACTCGAGTTGTATGTTGTAGGTTTTGAAATAATGTTTGGATGTATTAGCATGGCCTTTAATAAAGCTTGCCTATTCCGGGGTAGCCACCCAGCCTTATCTGACTTGAATTTTGTGAATAATAATTGCATATTGAATCTTGATGCCCTCAGGTGTTGGATTCACAAATGGTCATGCCTGGAAGCAGCAGAGACGGCTTGTACAAATGGCTTTGGTGAAATTGGGAGTCGGAAAAAGGACAATGGAAGACAAAATAGAAGATGAAGCCCAGCAGCTTGTAGAGATTTTTGCAAGTCAGCAAGGTTTGTAACATGAGGAGATGGTGCTGGCATGGGTCTTGTTGCTACTAAGTGTTTGCAACATACTTTTCCTAAGTTTTGGAAAAGATTGGGGCTGTTTCTGCTGCAACTGGCACAGTTAATTGAGAGTTTAATTGAGTGCATTGTTATCTCATGTATAAAGTAAGCCACTGTGTGTTTGTATTTTGAGCATTGTGTTCTAAGCTTTGCTTGAGGGTTCATTCTGAGCTGAAAAGCCTTTGTTTGGTGTGGGGAGCAGTTCTGCAGGCATCCTGAAGATAAAGATTGTTGAGGGCAAGACAAGGTCACTCTATGGACAACTAAGTAATGTATTTATTTATTTATTTAGAGCTTTTATAACCCGGTCTTCTCGGCCTCTGAGGAGGGACTCAGGCCAGCTAACAACAGAGAATCAATATACAAATAAACTAAAGGATAATAACATCATAGTACATTAATACATTAAAACACATTAAAATACAGATCAAGAATTACATAAAGCCAATTCGTCAAGGTAAATCACAAATTCATCACCATCCGCCTTGTGGTCAACAGTTATTGATTCGATCATCAATCTGAGAATGCTAAGTTCCAGAGCCAAGATTTTACCATCTTTCTGAAAGTCAGGAGGGACGGGGCAGATCTGATCTCTATCGGGAGAGAGTTCCACAGCCGAGGGGCCACCACCAAGAAGGCCCTATCTCTCGTCCCCACCAGACGCGATTGCGAAGGTGGTGGGACCGAGAGCAGGGCCCCTCCAGAATCATAGAATCATAAAATCATAGAATCAAAGAGTCGGAAGAGACCTCATGGGCCATCCAGTCCAACCCCCTGCCAAGAAGCAGGAATTATGCATTCAAATCACCCCTGACAGATGGCCATCCAGCCTCTGTTTGAAAGTTTCCAAAGAAGGAGCCTCCACCACACTCCAGGGCAGAGAGTTCCACTGCTGAACGGCTCTCACAGTCAGAAAGTTCTTCCTCATGTTCAGATGGAATCTCCCCTCTTGTATTTGAAGCCATTGTTTCGTGTCCTAGTCTCCAGGGAAGCAGAAAACAAGCTTGCTCCTTCCTCCCTGTGGCGTCCTCTCACATATTTATACATGGCTATCATATCTCCTCTCAGCCTTTTCTTCTTCAGGCTAAACATGGCCAGCTCCTTAAGCCGCTCCTCATAGGGCTTGTTCTCCAAACCCTTGATCATTTTAGTCGCCCTCCTCTGGACACATTCCCGCTTGTCAATATCTCTCTTGAATTGTGGTGCCCAGAATGGGACACAATATTCCAAGTGTGGTCTAACCAAAGCAGAATAGAGGGGTAGCATTACTTCCCTAGATCTAGACACTATGCTCCTATTGATGCAGACCAAAATCCCATTGGCTTTTTTGCCGCCACATCACATTGTTGGCTCATGTTTAACTTGTTGTCCACGAGGACTCCAAGATCTTTTTCACACGTACTGCTCTCGAGCGATGCGTCCCCCATTTTGTATCTTTGCAACCTTGAAGATTTTAACAACCTTGATGGTTCGTAGGGGAGAATCCGTTTGGACAGGTAAACTGGGCCGGAGTCATTTAGGGCTTTATAGGTCAACACCAGCACTTTGAATTGTGCTCGGAAACCGATTGGCAGCCAGTGGAGCTGGCGCAACAGAGGAGTAGTATGCTCCCTGTACCCTGCTCCTGTTAGTAATCTGGCTGCCGCACGTTGGACTAGTTGTAGCTTCCAGGCAGTCTTCAGAGGCAACCCCACATAGAGAGTGTTGCAGTAGTCTATACGGGATGTAACCAGAGCATGGACCACCATTGCCAAGTCAGACTTCCCAAGGTACGGGCGCAGCTGGCACACAAGTTTTCATTGTGCAAAAGCTCCCCTGACCACCGCCGAGACCTGCGGTTCCAGGCTTAGCGATGAGTCCTGGATCACTCCCAAACTACGAACCTGCACCTTCAAGGGGAGTGTAACCCCATCAAGCACAGGTTGTAACCCTATACCCTGTTCGGCCTTTCGACTGACCAGGAGTACCTCTGTCTTGTCTGGATTTAGTTTCAATTTGTTAGCCCTCATCCAGTCCGTTACAGCAGCCAAGCACTGATTCAGGACTTGAACAGCCTCCTTAGTAGCAGGTGGAAAGGAGTAACAGAGTTGGACATCATCTGCGTAGAGATGACACCGCACCCCGAAACTCCGGATGATCTCTCCCAAGGGCTTCATGTTGAACAACATAGGGGACAATACTGAACCCTGCGAGACCCCACAGAACAATGGCCGTGGAGTCGAGCAGGAGTCCCCTAGCAACACCTTCTGGGAGCGACCCTCAAGGAAGGATTGGAGCCACTGCAAAGCAGTACCCTCGAGGCCTATTCCCGCGAGGCGTCCCAGAAGGATACCGTGGTCGACGGTATCGAAGGCCGATGAGAGGTCCAGCAGAACCAACAGGGACACACTCCCCTGTCCAGTTCCTGGCGAAGATCATCAACTAAGGCGACCAAGGCTGTCTCGGTACCATGTCCCGGCCTAAAGCCAGACTGCGCCGGATCTAGATAATCATTGTCTACCAAGAAATCCGAGAGTTGCGAGACCACCACATGTTCCAGGACTTTGCTCAAATAGGGGAGATTGGACACTGGCTGATAGTTTACAAATTGAGTGGGGTCCAGTGATGGTTTTTTCAACAACGGTTTTATAACAGCTTGTTTTAACCTGGCTGGAATATTGGCTTCCCGAAGGGAGGCATTAACCAACATCTTTACCCACTCTTCCAAACCCCCTCTGGCTTCCTTTACCAGCCAGGATGGGCAGCGGTCTACGATGCATGTGGTAGGTCTCGCTTCTCCAAGAATCCTGTCGACATCCTCGAGTTGAACAGATTGAAACGAATCCATCAAAACTGGACAAGCAGGTGCTCATGTTAAATCCTCAGAGACTGCCGTTAACATGGTGTCAAAGCCTGAACGGATCAAAGCGACTTTTTCCGCAAAGAACTGAGCAAATGTTTCACAGCGGGTTACCGAGTCGTCAGGGGACCCACCCTGAAAGGTGGGATTCAACAACCCTCTGACTACTGAAAACAACTCCGCCGGATGGTTCCTTGCAGACGCAATATTACCCGAATAGAAAGAATTTTGTGCAGCTTCTATTGCCGCGCCATACGCCCTTGAATAAAGGCATAGACGTGTTTGGTTTGACTCATTAGGCTTTTTCCGCAACACGCTCTCTAGCCTCCTCTTTGCTTGCTTCATCGCTGCCAACTCCTCATTAAACCAAGGAGATGGTTAAGCTCGGCTACTTAAGAGGGGGCACTCTGGAGCAATCGTGTCTATTTCCCTAGTCAACTCATTATTCCAACAAGAGACCAGAGCATTGACAGAATTACCTACTAAGGTGATGGGAAATTCCCCGAGAGCCATCAGGAATCCCTCTGGATCCATAAGTCTCCTGGGGCGGACCATCTTAATGAATCCACCACCGCTGCGGAGGTTAAGAGTTGCAGAAAGTCTAACTCTGATCAGGTGATGGTCGGTCCATGGCAAAGGAATGATGGATAGCTCCTCCACACCACCACCATCTTCCAACCCTGACAGAAAACCAGGTCTAATGTGTGTCCAGCACAGTGGGTAGGGCCAGATACTTGGTGGGACAGCCCCATAGTTGCCATGGTGGCCATGAAGTCCTGAGCCGCTCCTGAAAGGGTGGACTCCGTGTGGACATTGAAGTCCCCCAGCACTAAAAGCTGCTGGGACTCCAATGCCAGGCCCGAGACCAACCCCACTAGCTCAGGTAGGGAGACTGTGGTGCAGCGGGGTGGTCGATAAACCAACATTATCCCTATTCTGTCCCGGTCTCCTAGCCTCAGGTGGACACATTCAAACAAGGTTGACTGTGGGATGGGGCATCTGATCAGGATGATGGAATCTTTATAGACTATTGCAACTCTGCCTCCCCGCCCCCCCCCAGATCTTGGCTGGTGCTATACAGAGTAACCTGGTGGGTGAGATTAACCCCCCTAGCCTTGTCCAACTAGGTCTCCATAATGCAGGCCAGGTCTGCCTTTTCGTCAAGATTAAATCCTGAATAATTGATGTTTTTCCATTGACAGACCTGGCATTCAGCAGCACCACCTTTAATCCGGGGGGACCATCTATCTTGGTACTCAGATTTACCATGTCGGGAGAACATTTTGGATTTTTTTTTAGAGTTTTCTCACGAATTAGCCGAATTGGTTTATTAACTCTTCCTTTCCTGCATATCCCCTTCCCCATCATCACCTCGATGGGGGGGGCCCGACTAGTAGAACCCCCCTTCCACCCAGCCCCCTCTCCTCCCTACATCCTTATAGTCTAACACTGCACTATAATACGGTAAATCTAAATCTGTTGGTATTCCATCATTTTTAACATTTCTATGGTTCATTTCCTCAAATTCATAAAACCACTTTCAACTCTCACAGATCATTCGACCATTCTTAAAAGCAATTATAAAGTGCAAGATGTAAAGTGCAATTACAGGTTTGAGGTATCAGGTCAAAAGCAGCATTGGGACAAGTGATTAGCAAATGATTAACAAATGATTAAAGTGCTAGTAAAAATCACCTATCACAATAATATAATGAGGAATTCATTTCTCGATGGAATTCATTCAATGGAATTCATTCGTAAAGTACAAATATGCTGGCAAAAGTTGGCAATATTATCAGTAACTAGAGTTAATGAAGTCTTGGGTTAAGAACAGCAGTCAATAGAGTCAGGGATAGTGCAAGATAGGTAGCCTGAGGAGGCAATAGCAGCATGATCTTGAGTTTCCAAGAGGGAACCGTAGAATTCCTCTGCTAGCAACCTTCAGTCAGGCAGCACCTGTTGACAATCTTCTCCCACGATGGGTCGGTAGCACCATAAAACACACAATGCTATACAATGTCAAATTAACAATATTGCTGGGACAATTGATCACACAAACGAAAAACTCTGATGAAACAATGAATCCAAAACTCCCTGTCAGAGCAGATTTCATCCACCAGGCTCTAGGCGAGGGTCCATCGGGAAGGCGGGTGGGAGACGACGAACTGGCACTTGGCAAGCCAGGAGCAATCAAGGTGGTAAGCTGATGAGTGGGTGAGGCTGTTATAGGGGCAAACCACCAAAACCTGGACTCCACAGTAAGAGAGACTGTATATTGTTTTTGTTACAAGTATCACCGTTGAATGAAGAGAACTCACTGAAGATAGAGCAATTCTTCTGTCTTGTTTTTGTATGCTGTGAATACAACTACTTTTCTTTTCTAATTAAAGCGAAAGACTCATGTACTTTCTTTTATGAGTTACTTTATCACACTTAGAGTTACAAGGGCTAGAGCCATTCTGCGGGCTACTTACGCTAAATGCTGACATGTCTTTGCCGGCAGAAACCAATATCTCTCTTTGTTGTGAAATATATAATATTTCATTGATTTTTTTATATAAAATAAGTGATCAGTAAATTCCAATAGTTTGCAGTAGATGTACTGATATTAATTAGACTTCATTTGCAGGGAAACCATTTGATCCAGAACTGTTCATCACCAATTCAGTCTCCAACGTGACATTTTCCCTGATGTATGGATACCGGTGGTCTGTTGAAGACCCAAACTTCCAGAAGCTGATTAAAACCATTGAGTATACCTTGAGTTTTGGACTAATAAGTATCTCTTACATAGTAAGTAACAGCCCCCCCTCCCCCCGATTTCATTCAGTTGAATAGATCTTCCTTAGGAACATTCAGAAAACCTTTTCAGTAGTGGGAGAACAGAGAATTACTCAGGAAGAGAAAGTTCAGAATATATTGTGGAAGAAAATGATGGAAGAAGGGAGCAGGTATCCTCCTCCTCTTCACCTCCATTCTTTTTTTACAGTCAGGAAATTTAGCTATCTCAAAATAATTTGTGTGTGTCAAACCTGCTTTGGCCAATGAACTGTCTTTCCTTGAAAGGCTTTTTGCTTTCATCTGTTGTAGCTGTATGAATTGTTCCCATCGCTCATGGACCGCCTTCCAGGACCTCATAAGAAGGCATTGGAGACCTCACAGATGCTGCTTTCACTATCAAAGGAAGAAATACGGAAACATAGGGAGCAAGAGTCCACACAGGAGCCACGGGATTTCATTGATCACTACCTGCGTGAAATGGAGAAAGTAAGTACTGGATCTTCTTTCTCTCCATCTTTAAATGGGGTTATTATACGTCAACAGGTGACATCCAATTTCAAGACGTGCACACATATACAAGACAAAAGGCAGCATTGAGGAGTGGCTTTCCGATCAGTCAGAAATTCTACTTCACATTTTATATTTTCAGGAGAAGAATAAGAATGATCCCACCTCTACCGTGGATGAAGAGAACCTGATGCACTCTATTCTAGACATCTATTTTGCTGGATTGGAAAATATCACCACAGTTATGAAATGGGCACTCCTCATTTTGGCAAACCGTCCAGATGTCCAAGGTAAAAATGGTCATTGTGCAACACAAAGAAGGGGCTACTACCGATCCCTGTTGTGCCAACAGTATTTTTAAATAGAAATGTTGTAACTATCAGAGGATATGTGTTAAATGAAGAAGAAAGACGATTTGTGATTAGTTGAACAAATAAAAATTTTGTGGACAAACAGAGAAGGAATGGCTGTTGAATGAATAAAAAATAGCATTTGATAGCAAAGGTTTACTGAAATTAGGATAAGAGAACTTTCTGCAGAAAGTATGTGGATAATGGCAAAAAGGAAGCACTTGCCTCAAAGTTGGGAAAAGTTACCAAAAAGGAAGAATGCAGGAGATATCGAAGGTGAAGAATGGATATGTTTATCCCAGTGGATATAGAAAAAAAGGAGCATGTACGAAATGAAACAATTTATGCTGAAAAAAAGAGATATGTATGTTAACATATTAGGAGCAATTAGCACAAAAGTATCTACAAAGTTTGACACAACCCTTTTCTATTAGGTTTTTTTTTACTTTGGTTTTTATTAAAAAAATTTACCCAAGCAACACATATATAATCAGAAAATATACATTCAAAAATAATGAAACGTATCTAGATCTGTATGCAGATGGCAACTTGTACAAAATAAGTATAACATACTTTACCATTCATTCAAATTTAAGACATTTTCAAAGGAAAATCCATGCAAACTATTCCTAACTAGAACTGTTTCCATCTAGATAACAGCAATAGTGCCATCAGCTACTTCTCTCCCTCACCCCCACATCATATGCACAAAAAAAAAAATCCCAATGTATCTTTTTTTTTAAAGAAATTCCTCACAAGGCAGGAAATATATCTTCATGATCAAGAGAGTTTCAGAGTATGTCCAAATACATCCTGATATCACATCAATTAAAAAAAACATAAGAATGGGAGCAGGCAACAAAGTACTCTCTTATGAGTAGAGCTTTCTGACTATTTTACACACACAGGCATGGACAACTGCAAAAACCCAATTTGCATAAATTGAAAGATGTCCAAAATCATAATCAAATGTTTCATTAACATTATGCCAACATATTTAACTTTTCCAGGAATCATTTTTTTTCTATTTTGTAGCATTCCAGTTTGTCCACATAGTATTACATATTTCTTTTTTTTAATCCTTTCCCTCTTCTTTTCTTTTCCTTTTTTCTCCCTTCCCTTTCTTTTCTTGACAACCATACATAATCCCTTTTCTAAACATCAACATAGTGTTCACATCTCAAGAGTTCCGCCATAACACACATACCATGGTAAAGAAAGTCACACCAAAAGAGCTACAAAGAATTCTTCATCATGCCTTTCTTCAGAAGGAAGTCAAACTATTTGAAGAAAATTAGGATTTTATATTAGTCAGCCTTGAAATCCCCATGTTGAAATAGCCTTTCCTTCTAAAAACCTTTTGAAGGGCTCCCAGTCTTTCCTATATCTGAGTCTTTTGACTGGAGATATCTTGTCAGAATGACCATCTCTGCCACTTCCGCCACTTTCACGATCCCTTCCTCCATTTCCGGTGTTTCCTCCAATTTCCAGGCTCATGCGTAAACGATTCTTGCAGCAGTTACCATCAAGGTGACTTCAGCAGTGATCTGTCTGTTATTCCTAGTAGGAATATTTCTGGGTGCATAGGTATTTTTAGCTTTAATATTTTTTCAATAGTTTTATGGATCTCAATCCAAAACCTTTTTGCCTTCTTGCAAGACCACCACATATGAAAAAATGATCCTGTTGCTTGTTTTCATTTCCATCAAGCGTTTTTTTAATTGTGGCTGCATTTTGGCTAATTTAACAGGTGTCATAAGGGACTGATAAAACATTTTGCAGAAATTTTCCAGAAGTGAATAGGTATTCCCATTTATCTAAGCTGATCGAGTGGCCAATGTTTTTGGCCCATTTGACCATACATTCTTTGATCTTCTGTATGCAATTTTAACAGGAGGTTGTAGAGCTTAGAGAGTTGTTTATTTCTTGATTGTAGTGCCTTGTCAAAATCTCTCTTTTCTACTTCAAATCCTGTCTGCTCATCTTTTTGATATTGTTGGTGTATTTGTGCATATTCAAACCAGTTCATATTGTTGGTTTATTTCTATCAGTGTTTTCAGTTGGAGATTACCTTGTGTTTTCTTGAGTATTTCCACACATGTTGGCCATCTTTTACTACCTTTGGAGTTTCCACTTTGTTTGAAAGCTTCCTGGATCGAGGTCCATTGTGGTATTTTTGTATAAAATGTTATTTTTATACTTGTTCCAAATTTTCACCAGAGTTTTCCTAATTGGGTGTTTGTTAAAATTTGGATCTTCTGCCACTTTTTCATAAATTAAGTAAGCATGTAAGCCAAATTTTAAAGTATCTCCTTCAAGAGTTATGAGACTTTGATTGTCAAGATGGATCCATTCTTTTAGCCAATTCAATATAGCTGCTTCTCTATATAATTTTAGGTTTGGGAGAGCCAGTCCTCCTCTTTGTTTAGTGTCTTGTAGATTTTTCATCTTTATTCTAGGTTTCTTCCCTCTCTAAATAAACCTCGTAAGTTCAGCGTTCCAATTTGTAAATTCTTTTTCCTTTATATCCACTGGGATGTTCTGGAACAAGAAGCATAATCTAGGTAGAATATTCATTTTTTATTGTGGCTATTTGTCTCTTCAATGCTGGTGGTTTTTCACTTTTATACCTATTAGGTCTTCATCTTGGCGTAGTTTTCTTGCTAGAATTTCTACTGCGAGTATGAATAATAAGGGTGAAAGGGGGCATCCCTGTCTCACACCTCTCTGTATTGGAAATGATTCAGTCTGTACAGGAGTTGATTATAAATTGTATGATTTTAACTGTATTTGTGTTTAGATTGGCTGCAGTAATGCTGGAGCGGCCTAAGTCAGAGGAGTGCGTTGCCATGGAGACGATGTAGGCTAGAGAGAGAAGTGGGAGGAGCTTAGAGGGGAGAGTTTGAAAAACGACAGTTAATGTTGAGTCAGGGTTTAGGTTTAGAGGAGTTAGGTTTTAGATTTAGAGGAGTGAGCAGTCAGGAGTTAAGATTTGAGGGTGAGGAATTAGTAGAGGAAAGATTAGGAGGTTGTAGCTGAAAGAGAATGAATTGTGAAGCAAAGTTTCGAGGCTTTGGAAAGCCAGATTAAGTTACTGGAAGTTTCTTAGGCTAGAGAGGCTGATAAGGGAAACATAACCAGTATTCCGTTAGTCTAAAGAAAGGCTAAAGAATAAGCTTATTAAGTATCTGATCAAGGGAGGATCAGATAAGGGAGACATCCCTGTATTGAAACTTTGTTTTGTAATAAGTGCTTCACCTCAGGAAGATACTGTATAACCTGAAAGAGTGTAACATTCAACTAACCAAGCATTATTCTGAGTTCTATAAGAAAAGTTACAACTTGCAACCACACACTTTGTGCTCAATAAACTTGTTAACTTTTGTTTGAAGACTGCCTCATCTCCATCAATTCTGCATCCAGTGTGCCATTTCTCACAATATTATAACTTACCTCACGTGGTGGCAGAAACACAGGGGAAAGTGACCAAATAGATCTACATTCTTATCTCCAGTCACGCTACAATACATACAGTGTAATTACTACTAAGTTATTACTATCTTAATAAAGGAGGAGGTGCGATTGAACAGCCTTCCTTCTAACTTGATGGTAAATTTGGTTCCTTTCAAATTGGTAGCAACAATAATCATCCCTAGGCTCCCCTGCTCCTGCGCACAGTCATATATCTGTTAATTTTAATTTTGGCTCTTTGTTCTGTATATATGGCTTGTATTCAGTTAATGAATTTTTCACCGTATCTTAGGTTCTTTAGTAGTTCAATAATAAAATTCCAGTTTAGTCTGTCAAAGGCCTTTTCAGCAACCAATAGTTAAAAGTGCCCCCCTTTTAACTTTTGCATTTTGAATGTGTTCAATTATGTTTAAGATTATCCTTGTATTATCTTTAATTTGCCTTCCAGGTAAAAAGCGTGCTTGATCAGATTTGATCCAATTGCTCAGTGTTGATTTTAATCTATTTGCCAATATTGATGTAAATATTTTATAGTCTATATTTAACAATGAGATAGGCCTGTTATTTTGAACCAGTTTTTCATCATGATTTTCTTTGGGGATTAGAATAATGCTGGCCTCCTTCCATGTCTCTGGTATTTGATTTGTTTCCAGTGCAGAGTTCATTATTTTTAGTAGTATTGGTGTTATTTCATCTTTCATCATCTTGTAGTATGTTGCTGTATAGCCATCTGGGCCGGGGGGTTTATCTGTCTTTAAGTTCTGGATTGCTTCATGAATTTCCTGTGCTGTTATTGATCCATTTAAACATTCTTGCTCTTTGTCAGGGAGGGTTGGAAGCTTTTGAGTTTTGATGTATTCTATTGCTGCTTCTGTTGAGCCTTCTGTTGTGAGAGGAAGCCACAGGGAGGAGGGAGCAAGCTTGTTTTCTGCTTCCTTGGAGACTAGGACGCGGAACAATGGCTTCAAACTACAAGAGAGGAGATTCCATCTGAACTTCCTGACTGTGAGAGCCGTTCAGCAGTGGAACTCTCTGCCCCGGAGTGTGGTGGAGGCTCCTTCTTTGGAAGCTTTTAAGCAGAGGCTGGATGGCCATTTGTCAGGGGTGATTTGAATGCAATATTCCTGCTTCTTGGCGGGGGTTGGACTGGATGGCCCATGAGGTCTCTTCCAACTCTTTGATTCTATGATTCTTCATTTTTGTATAGATCCTAATAAAAATCTTTTAGATGTTTGACAAATTACAATGACTGACCATTGTAATTATATGACTGTATTTTGCTATTTTAATGTTTTAGTGTGATTTAGAATATGATGTCTGTAATACTGATGTTGGAAACCTGCCTGAGTCCCTCGATGGAGGTGAGAAGACCGGTATACAAAACTGCTAAATAAATAAATAAATAAATGTTTAATCTTTTGTTCTTCTCTAATTTCTTTATCTTCATGTTTCAATGAAGTTATATATTT